AATCCGCCAAGCTGGTGCGTTGCGTCTTCGTGCTTTTTTTCGTGGGTGCGTCATAGCTTCAACGCGCTAACATTGTTGATATGTACCTTTCTTTGGACCCGCATACATTCGGTTCAACTTGATGATAGCTGCACCAGCGTGAGAGCTCACGTCGAACACTTGCACACATATCTTTAATATGGCAAGATTTCTTGCCTTCGACTGGCTTGAACACTTCATCTGTAGCATCACGGTAGGTCTTGGTTGAAACGATGATCGTCTCGCACACGGCAACAAACAGAGAACGACACGCTGTTTTATTTATACGCTACCGGTCTACGGGCGTCGCAAATCTATCCCCCTCTTGTCCGCCATGTTGGATCTATCGGAGCGCCCTCTATATTCGCTGAGACTCCTCAATAGTTCTAGTCAACCGGCCACACCATCTGCTAGTCGTGCGGTACGTGTAGCGCTCACGAGACGCGACCACAAAAGTAGCGCCTCCGCTTGCGTCCGCGAAACGAGACCATTTAAATGCTGGTGAAAAGTGGCCCCCCAGCGTCCCATCAAGTACCTTTCACGGGGGTAAACTAGCCTCTGATAACTTCCCTCGATGTCTGCTCAAGGTTCACGCGCACTAACAGAGCGTTTAAAAGGACGCAACGCTATGCACCCTGGAAAGGCGACCTAAAATATCCGATGTTGCTCGCCAAGGTCGTTGTTCAAAACTTGAGAGCTACAGTTCTATCAACCACCCGTAAGTATTGTGCCTGGAACGCATCTCTGACGGGTGTGTTTATCGCGTCCATAAAAGTTGTTCCTCAATTTGCACCTGCTGGATTCATGGGTCTCTTGCGTTGCCCAGGGGTGCTGCGAAAAGGGACTTGTTAGGCCTTGTTTTGGGTAGTACAAACTTTAGCGTCTCAAACTCTCACGCATGCAAAAGTGTGCCTGCTCTGATGCGGAGCTCGAGATCACGATGAAAATACAAAGAAACAAAAAAAAAAATCGAACGCCGTCAAAGCTAAGACGCTAAACGCTCATTCACACTGGAAGCGAATCCGAGTTCGCAAAGCGGTTGCGAATGCGGTTGTATAAAGATCCAGTAAAATTGCACGCGCACTTGATGTCATCGAGTGCGCGTGCGATTGTACTGGATCTTTATACAACTGCGTTCGCAACCGCTTTGCGAACGCGGATTCGCTTCCAGTGTGAATGAGCGGTAAGAGCGTTAGCCAATAGATGCCGTTTCACGCGTTCCAAAGTAGACATGACAAAGAAAAAGAAAAATGAAAGCGTCGCGACACAGGGGTTTTGACGTCACCGCCCAGACATAAGAGACGCGAACCCTAGCGGCGGTGTCATGAATTTGGCACTTTTAATTTTCTTGCGGCATTGAGTCTGGCCGATTTCTGGCGTCCAAAGGTATTTTTTCGTTCTTCAGCGCAAGACAAAATTAAAAAAAAGGCTCAACCAACGTGCCATCAGTAGTGCGAGGCTCAATCAGGTGAGCTTGTACTACCCAAATTGAGGGCGCTACAGTTTGTTCAAAGCTTCAGCGCAGGAAGCCTATACGCCGGTCGCGATTATGGCGGTGTCCCAGCAGCGGTGGTGGAGGCGGCAGACGCCTGTTCTTCCCCGGGTCGCTCTTCAGTCTGACTGTCCACGGAAGCTTCGACAGCCAGAAATGGGGACCCGTGGCGACAGCGGCACACGCGTTTGCTCGTGCTTTTAGCCAGCATTGCTATGACCAATCGCCAGGATAGCGACATCTGACAGCATGAAATAGAGAGCCTAGTAAAAGCTTGGTCTGCTGGGCAAGTTGGTACTGCACCTTCATAATAAAAATAGCGCAAAAAGTCTTTTGCGCTAAAATAGAGACCTTACGTTTCAGAGAGGATTCATCTCAAACTATGGGGAGCGTCTGCAATTTTAATGGTGGACGCCTGCTGCGGAGACTCGACAAATTACGCATGCGCTGCGTTTTCGTGTGGCAAAGAGAAAAGCAAGCCGAAAGGCGGAGTCGTTTGCGAACGATCATCGCTTTCAACACCTCGCAGCTGGTTATGCAAACGTGGCCCATGAACCACGCTACCCTGATCGAGGAGTTAGAACCCCTCTTTAATACAGGCTCTCTAGCTTGACACCCCAGCTCCTGTGACGTTATTTATTTGCCACTTCGGGGCAACCTCTTAGGTATAGGCAGCATAAGACGCTAAACACGCCAGTCAGAGACGCGCTCCAGGCACCGTAGTAGTGCGGCACGTAGCCAGGATTTTGTTTCGGGGGGGGGGGGGGGGGGGGGGGGGGGGCCTGACAAAATGCTGTATTAGGGGGAGGGGGAGAGGAGGTCCCAGCGAAAGGGACGATTTCGGGGGGGGGGCAGGAGGCCCCCCCCCCCCCTGGTTACGTGCCTGCTACGGTGTAGTATGACGTGACCATAAAAGCGCTGCGTCCGAATCCGCCGTCGCTTGCGTCTGTCTGCTATTTCAGCCCCGTCTAATACGTCTGCTACAATCCCCACACTCCTGCTCTAGACGCGACCATGGAACGGCCTTCTATTCCTTCATCATGCAAAACCGACATCTAATACAAGCGTCTGTCAGCGTCTGTCAATGTGTGGTAAAAAACGACCTAATGAATTAAAAAAAATATATGCAGTTCTTTCAGCTTTTCGTGTTCTTGTCGTTTTCTTTCATAGCGTCCGGGAGGAAGGTGGGTGGGCGTCATGACGAACAATTGAAGCGCGACTTAAAAATCATTGGTATGTCAAGCCAGGTGAACTGCTCAAACTCTTTGAGCTAAGTACATTCCGAAGCGAAAAAACGGAAACATACCTTGACAAACCTGACGCCAGAACAACACCCGATTTCTTCCAGCCAAACAGCTCGCAAATGCTTCGGTGTGTAGAGTGTAGGCTGCCTCTCAGTACCGAAACCATGGTCGCAATCACGACAGCTTCACGGTTCTCAAAGTAACGGAGTCGGTTTTACGGGAAGCGACGCATTTATTGAGCACCAAAACTCGCAAGCGAACAAATGAAGTCCGATCCAGAAAATAGTTGACGTGGGACGCTAGGCTTACGCCTGTCGCGCTACGAAAACAGACACCCGCACATCGCTTCCGAACGCATGTGCTTGCGAAAGCTGTTTGCTGAAAATTACGTCGGTTGAGGTTATCTTCCGCTAAACCCCTCGGTGAACGCGAAACTATACTTGCACTCCTAAAAACAGGCGGCAAGATTAACGAGCTACGCAGGGTGTCAAACGCTCACCGCAAACGGTGGCAGCCATGTTTGTTATCGTTGGAAAACAAAACGAAACAAATAATTTATGATATTTTGGAAAACAATAATTACTCTATCTATATAACTTTTTTACCAAAAAAAAATGTCGAATCAACGAGAACTACGGCATTAAAAACAATTTTACAACGAGCATTCCGCAGGTCAATGATCTCTCTAACCAATGAGAGCCTAAAAATGGAGTGAGGTAGCTACGTTCCTGGGCGGGGCCTGGAGCGGGCTACCTCCTTCTAAATTATTCTTTTTCAAGATGTGTTGTGTACATGCGCAGGCCTTCCTCCCGCAGCGGTCAAAGCTCTAACTTGGGTTGGCGTCCGGAATAATGGTTCCACTGCCTCTCCGTCCTCATTCGCAACTCGGATCAGACGCAGAGAAGGCAGGAAAGGTATCGCACCTCTCATTCTATCCACTGACCGTAGTTGGAGCTGTAACCACTTGGTGTTGTTTTTATGTGAAAAGGGTCCATTGCTTCTAACAACATAAATATTAAACGGCTGTTTTTTTTTATTTTCGTGGGAATAAAGAATTGTTTAAAATAAGCCCTTAATTTCTTTGTGTTTTTTTAAGGCTGACTGGTACGATCATTGAATCATCCTTCCGTTTTACCCGACACTGATCCCATCACACGTTTACAACTGGTGTTTAAAAAATTGGAATCCAACTTCGATAAATTTGATGTTTATGTTTTTGGATGCGAACAGCCATTTAGAAAATGCATTGAGGTCTTCCTCTCATTTTGACATCTGAACATTCGTTCATGGCATGTTAATTCTTATTATGATGACGTAATAAACCACTAAAAATGGGTATAGTTGTTTCTGTGGCACTGAAATGAAGCACAATAAATAAATAAAACTATATGCGCCGTAAAGCAAGGACAAAAATATAGAGACACAACACGAAACGCTATTTTGCAACAAAATGTTTAATTTAAAATAAAATTCGACTATTTATAGAACCATCAAGTAGCTCACGCAGAAATTAAAATACCTTATCGGATAGGTGATCTGACGGCACGCTTATACATTTGATATCCGCCGCAGTCGAAAGATGGAGATTTTATGATGCATCTACTTCTAGCAATAATTTGCTTCTTAACGTCCCGAAAAGTTTCGCTTCTTTTTCTGGAATCAGGGTGCATGGGTATCAATCACAATGAATAGCCAAGTTGTCCTATGGGATTTGTTTTACAGACTGCTCGTGCTCGCGTGCCGTATCGTTAGCGGATCTTCCCATTTGAACCAGGTCTTATTTCCCTTAGTTAGTCAGGATTTCATAAACGTCCGAAGTGGCATATTCTACGTATTCTACGTACTGGTAAGTGTATTTCTTTTACACGCATCAGCTTTGTCTTTACCTGACAGTGCATATAAATGGTATTTTTGGAATAACATTCAGTTCAATATAGGTTTTCATGTCGTGTTCTTTTTTCTTTGTCCCTGTTGTACCGCGCGTATTGTTTAATAAATATTCTCATTTTCAGATTTCATTGTTTTTTTAATATCTACTCGAATATAAAAGCTGAATTAGCTTGCAGCGTTCCGTCTGGCTAAAGACACTATGTGTACGGGTGTAGCAAAGTTTTTTTCAAGCGGTAGTGATTAAATTATTCAGAGCTTAAAAAGAAGCGTGGCTTGTAAACGCGAAATATTACTACAATTGGTGATAAAGCGACCTGGAATATATTTATCTGAAGACTTAATAGCGAATAACAAACCTTTGTTAAATCTTGATCTTCGAAGTTTGCCACATCTTCCTCTGGTTGTTTGCCAGTCTCTTGAGAGTAGCTACCCATTAAAAGGCAGAAAATAGCAAGGAGCGACTGTACGTACATTCTGAGATTCAGCCTGAAACAATATCTTAATATGTGTAGGGACGACAGTGTGTTCCAGTATTTATACTTTAATGAAAACATTTGCTGACATGCTGAAACCAATCACAAGTTAGAAAAGTAGTGAAATAAAAAAATATATGATTTTAATATAATTGTTTCAGACGAGACTCATTCCAATTGGCTAGCTGAGAAGAAAGAGGGAGACTGACTCATTCTGACGCCGTTGCAGCTTTTGTCGCGTCTCCTGTAGTCAAGGTGTGCGATATGTCAGACATCTGGTTTCTGAAAGCGGCGTATGCTTCGCCGCCTTCAAAAAGATCCAGGAACCTAAGCGCAACGTGCACATTATCCACCTTTGACAATTCTAGAATTTTTATATGGTAAGAATACCGCCGGAACGTTTTTTAGCGCATTTTGTAAAACACAGGGTATGTGGAAACAATAAACAAGCAAGGGGTCAACACGTTCTCTTATTTTCTCTTTTGAGATATCCTGACCATCACTAGCACGTTTTTCACATCATCTTCGGCATAAAAGCCTAGCGTTTCATGGGTATACTTAGAGGGTAGCTTTTGACATGGTACTGTACATTTTGTCAGTCGAACTAAAATGCCTAGGTAAGTCCGCATGTGTATATTAATTTTTTCTTATTATATTTTTTTCTGGAAGAAAAACATTTCGCCACTAAAAGGAAACCTTATTGATAAAATTGGCATATTAGACACTCCAATTTGTTCCGCGGAGGCGGGCGAAGTTTATAGTATGCTTATGCGATAGCAACCCAAGAATGAGGCAAGAACTCTCCACCTTCAAAAACTTATACGCACACGGGCAACTATGATTAGAAAAGCGCTCAAGTGACTTGTAAATATATCAGCTTGAACTTTAGAAATAACTGGAACACAAAGACAGAAAGGACAGGATATGACAAACAGCTGACTACCAACGATGTTTTAGTGTAAACTTCTTCCTTGCAGTTTTGCTCCTTCCTTTTGAGTCTCAAGTGGAGCACGATAAACCTATTAAAGAAATTGCCCTATTCCACTAATAAAGATTACTCCCGATATTTACACTTATACAAAAAATATACAAATCATTTGCACAGTATTCCTAGGAAATTATTGCTTTTGAACTAACCCGCCAAAAGCTCGTGCTGTTGTTGTTTGGGGCGTGACATTCCGTAGGTATTTTCTTTCTTTTTTGTGTATGGTGATTGATGGCGTGCTGACACAATCCTTTACGTGCTCCTCGATGGCGAGCGCCTCGAGCATTTCGCGTGCATGACGATTGTTGTTTCTTGCAAGAATGGTGGTACTGTTCAAAGCTACACTGCACTGGCATGTCCTCCAATGAGCTGCCAGATGTCTTGCCGCTGTTCCCTTTGGAGACGCTGCATGCTCACTGGCTCTGTTGTTGATACATCGGCCTGTTTGGCCGATTTAGCATTTCCCGCAAGACAGGCGAATGTGGTACCAACAAGCTCAACTCTTAACCGTTATTCCGCTCAAATGAAGAGTGCAATTATATTAGAGATTTTAAAATAAATTGGTAGCTGAGAGAATGCAATGCAAGCTCAGTCTACTGAAGTGCTACATTTATGGCATTCTGTTGAATATGAGAATACACTAAACAACAAAATATAGGGTCAGCACGTTTATGCTAAGGGTGTCCTATAGCCGAGGAATTATATTGTGAAGAAAGAACGTTTACTGGCAAAGTAACGTTTTCTATAATGTTACCTTTAGTAACGTAAGAATCATGTGCACCTGCTAAAGCACGAAATGGCAAGTGAGCACAAAACTTTTTTTTATTTTTTAAATCCGAAAACAAGTTAAAATAACAAGGTCTTTGTCACCACACTTTTCTGGGAAATACGAAATCAAAGGGCATTTCTTTTGACACATAATATGATACATAATATCGTTTATTACAATTACAGAAAAATGCATTGATGGAATCTTAGAGATTGTGTTAGCATGATCCTTGGAAACAACACACACACAACCCTTTGGGAAGAGATAATGCTCGCCCTTTCATTTTTTTTCTTTTGGCTTTCTTTTTTGCTTATCATATTTTTTGCTACCTTCTTTTGGCCTCGTTACGGGATCAGTGTTAGCGTTTCCTAAAGGGGGACATTCGTGGCGCTTCCCAAGGGTTATGCTAACAGACTCCCCTAGAATCCACCAATTTATTTTCCTGTAATAAACCTTTTCTTCGGTAAGCTTCTGCACATCCCGCTGTCGCCACTGTCGTGGGACGCGGACACGGTGTCCTGCGAAAATGGCGACAGCAACATTGTCAGCATCTTTCCTTGCGCCTAGTTTGTCTCCTTTGACGCTTCGTTTTTTTTTTTTTTTTTAGTATCGCTAATATGATGTTTAAAAAGCACTGAAAGCCGATACAACGGCACGATGCCAATGTGTATTGACGGGCGGAGTGATGTTGGGCTGCTCTTTATTTGTAGTTCGCAAACAACTCCCGAGACGGCGGTCATTACTCAAAAAAGGTCCACATCTTTTACCTATTTATTGTACTCTGCCTCTGAGTGTTTGTCAACGCCCTTGAATACGGTTTTTACATCACTCGTGGAATGAACCAGATCCCTACCACTTGTGGACAGAACCGCATCCATATCACTCGTGGCGTGAACAGCATCAATCGTGATAACTACATAAACACAAAACCACCTCACAGCCCACGCACCGCTACTGCGGAAACCCAGAGCGAAGAAAGACCGTTGACATCAGAGTGGCAACTGAGCACGCCCGCATTCTACCGCGCCGCGGCGCAATACCTCCTAGAAGACAAAGCCGTAGTGCTGAAAGAGACGGCGTTATATGAGAAGGCAACACCAACACCGGACGCACATTGGACATGACTATTGCGCCAACGTTCGGTTCAGATTTGACCCGAAACGGAGCGCTGACTCAGCACTCGTTTCCAATCTGTGTCCAGCGTTGATATTTTCTGATTGAGCCATATCATTCAGCCCTAAGGCTTTGTTATCTAGTAGGTGTTGCGCGGCGCCTCCTCGTTCTCTGACTCCGCCCCAGATGTGCGCGTGACTTTGCTGAAAAATAAAGGGCTTGGTTTGACAAAAACCCGGCGGTGTCTGTCAGTTTGTCAGGCCACGGAAGAGAAAGAGAGGTTGACGAGTGCTGACGTCAGTGCTTCGGACAAATGGGAGCCTCGCACGCGACAACTAAGAAACGAAAGTCATTTCATTTCATTTCATTTATTTACTCTCAAGGCCGAAGCATTACAGAAAAAAGTGGTGAAGCAAAAAATAAATAAATAAATAAAATACAACATGAACATAAACACAGCAGGGAGATTACAAAAAATGGTTGCAAATGGCGCTTTTGAAACGGTCGCTGTCGGTGATTGAAGCGATGGAGGCGGGGAGGTGGTTCCAGTCTGTGCAGGTTTTGGGAATGAACGAGTGGAAGTGCAAATTGGTGCGGCTGCTTGGGACGCCAACCTTGAACTGGTGGTCGCTGCGGGAAGAAATGTACGATGGTGGCAGAAAGAGAGAGGCACTGAGTAGAGAATTGAAATGATAAACCTTGTGAAAGAGACAAAGACGAGATAGTTTACGACGCAATGAAAGATCGGGTAAGTTAAGACTAGATTTCATGGAAGTGACACTCGCAGTTCGAAAGTAATTTGAGAAGATGAAACGCGCGGAACGGTTTTGAATGGCTTCTATTTGAAGAATAATGGAGTTAATATGAGAGTCCCAGATTGATGATGCATATTCAAGCTTTGACCTCACTAAAGTTTTATAAAGTATGAGTTTCAAGTTAGTTGGGGCTAAAGAAAAATTACGCCGTAGATAACCAAGTGCGCGATTAGCATTACTAGTGATGTAGTTGACGTGATCTTGCCATGAAAGGTTAGCAGAAATGATAATGCCAAGATATTTGTAGGACGAAACTTGCGTTAGGCGAACACGGTTAAGTAAGTAGTCACATGGTAGGATGTAATTTGAATGACGTGCAATTCTCATTGGCTTACATTTAGCAGGGTTAAGTTTCATTAGCCAGGTGTCACACCAAAATGAAATGTTATCGAGGTCAGACTGAAGAGCATGATGATCAGCAGGTTCCAGAATTTTGCGATAAACAACACAGTCGTCAACAAAAAGTTTTATAGATGAAGGAATGCAGCTAGGTAAGTCGTTAATATAAATAAGAAAAAGCAAGGGCACTAGAACTGACCCCTGGGATTTCGTCAAAACGGGCGTTCTAATACTAACACCTTGAAAACAATACATTATTTGGTGGAAACAATGGTAAAAAAGCTGTAAAACAGTTTGACTAGTCCCAAGCTCCCAGATACAATAGCAGAAAAGTATTACGCATAAAACATTATTATAAAAATAACCAAATGAATAAGTTTCCGTGATATCGAAACATGCCTTTTCCAACGCGTACTTACAAAATTTAAAAAAAAAATATAAAATAATATATATATATATATATGTGTATATCTTAAACTTCAAGTGCTTTCTTCAACGCACTGATAAATTATATAGCACGTTCTTCTTGAGGAACTAGTATCTAACAGATTAGAAAAGCAGTAAGGTAAATAACAAATAGCGTATAATACTAGAGTTCCCGAGATATTTGATACATAAAAATAATCAATTACTGAATGTTTAACGCTGACTTATTTGCTGATGAGCGTGCAGCATTCGAAGCCATTGGTCGATCTAATCATCCATTTAACCTGAAAATTGAGTTGTACTTAATCATTGCCTAATGTTTAAATGTATAATTTTAATTAAGCTTTCAAAATCCAACCTTCTTTTCTTTCATTTCCCAACTTTCGCTTCTTTTTCTCCACTGATAATTTTGACGTTGATAAAATACACACTGTATATAGGCCTACACTTTTCTTTATTTTTAGTGGCAATAAATAGCAACACATCAGTATAATAACAGGATCGGAAGTGACAGATTGCCTGGTTGGTACATAGTTCGTTTTGACAAAAAGCG